GTTCTCGTATACAAAGCAAATTCCCATTGCTGGTAAGCATGGAGAAGGGGGGGTAATGGTGGGTAGGATGTTGCCGGCCGCGGAAAGTTTGCTGGCCACTGGCACGGGAAGGTGTTACTGATCTTGAGCTTCGTATATTCCTTTCTGTTTGTCTCACTGATACATTGGAAGGATCATCCCTAGCTCTCAAGCTCTCCTCTCTCTTCTGCTACAAAGCTGTTAGTTTATCCAAAATATACTATATTTTGTATGGAATCTTTACTGTCATCTTCACAATTCTCTTGCTCCTACACGGTTTGCATGTCTTCATGCGTGAGCCATCCTGCGTTAATGTCCAGATTTTTTTTTTGATTTTTTTTAATACTCCTATTCGGTCCCAGTAAGGAGGGTTCAGCGTTAATGTCCAGAGAGCTGGGTCGTATTTACATTACCAACGGGCGCAGCGAATTGGATCAATGAGTAGATGTCGGATATGGTACCGCATCCACTGGTGAGCAAGAGACCTGGTCAGTTTAGAGACATAGGTCGAGCTTATGCAGTAAGTGACACTACAACGGTCCATTTTTGGGGAAAAAGTGCACAAGGTATCCGAGCGCAAAAATAGGGTGGATGATACCGTGCAATCTGATCTACAAGAGACCAGTTTTTTGAAAAAGTATACCGCTAAGGATTTACATCGGTTTCATCCACCACATCCTCAGCCAAAACAACATATTCAACCTCTTCATCGGAATCCAACTCTTTTTCCCATTGCCCCACCACAAGATTAGGTAGCCCTCGTACATGCAGTTGATCATCTTCATTTCCAGTTGGACAAAGTGAAATACCCGTCTGCTTAAATGCCTTAATAATGGTATCTCGCTTATGTTCATGAAGCTATAACCAGGCGGCTGCTACTGCATGTGTAATTGCTATTCGGCGATGTTGAATACTAGTATCTTCATCCTCATTTGCCAATGTTTCCTCCAGAATCTCGCCAATTTTATCCTTCACTAGCGTTAATAATAGTATCCATTGGTTATACATATCCAGTACAGCCATCTGGAATATATACAGCAGTAATATACAACTCTTTCATGACTTTAAAGACTGCTTTAGACTTTTGTCCACTAAAAATATCTAACACAACCAACCGTTCAAGCTGAGGAAGATATATTCCAATCAAATTTTTTGGAATCCCACATATATCATACTTTAGCCAACCTAATGTAACATCTTCATTGCTATAAGTAGTAGGATTAAATAACGTATGCACCTCTGAACTGTACTTTGTTCGTTCAATTTGATGGGCAGCACTTTTTTTAGTTGCATGTCTATAGAAGATAAGGATTGGCTTGCATCGTAAATATCTATCAGAACATGCTGTAAGCATTAAGGTTGCTTGCCGTTTTGTCCATGAAATATGTTCAGAATGAATAAGAACTGTAGTTGCACCTTTTGTATCGTAGGTATGAGTTTGAAGAAACTCAAAAAGAAGTGGAGTTTGATCCATGTTGTAAATATAACATGGTTGAAAGCGAGGAGAAGTAGATAACTCTGAGTTGAGAGGTTGAGATTTCTGTCGTATTTCCTGTAGAAAGTCCTGAACTACTAGTATCTTCTGTTCTGGTGTCTTTTGAGCTACTTTTGTTTTGACACGCCAGGAAATATTCCATTGCTCTCTAAACCCATTAAACCATCCTACAGAAAACTGACATTGATATGTCACTTTATTCTGCTCATCACAATCCACCTGTTTAAGATAAAGCTGTTGAAAGATTTTTTTTCCCTCTCGTATAAACTATTACTGGCCTACTGGCTTTCCTAGAGCACGTATTGCTAGAAATTTTGTATGTAGTGCTTGTTCTATTTGAGGCCACTGTCCAGCTCGTGCTCTTTCTACTATTCTTGATCCCTTCTGTGATGCAACAATTTCATCTTCCTGCTTCATCCATCATTCTAGCATACCCCTTGCAATATCTAATTGCTCTGATACCCCTACAACTGTTAGCTATGTATAATTTACTAGAATATTTACAACCTTTACTTACATCTTGTTCCATATCTCTTGCATTTATTCCCTTTATTCACGCGACTACTATGAACCATAGTAATAGTACGCAGCTTAAACTCTCTGTTCCAAGACTTCCGTGTCTTTGTTGGTTTTTTAGAAACCTCCGACACAACCTCATCTACCCATTCTGAGGCCACATTCTCTTTTTCATCTCTATTCACTTTCTTAGGCTTCCGTACATTTAATGAGGTAAGACTACGTGAGTGTAAGGCTGTTGATTTTGCCTTGGGGCCCGGTCGAACTCTGACTTTTGCTGAAGACATCGTTATTAGAGAGCAGATATGATAACAATTACTTTTTCAAAAAACCGGACCCTTTGCATATTATTATCTACCTATTTTTGCGCTCAGATACCTACCTGCTGTACTTTTTCAAAAAACTGGTCTCTTGTAGATCAGATTGCACGGTATCATCCACCCTATTTTTGCGCTCGGATACCGTCTCTAAACTGACCAGGTCTCTTGCTCACCAGTGGATGCGGTAGGGGTGAAGATTTGTAAAGTACAGTAATCAAGACTATCGCGCATCAACGTACAGAACAGGTAGGTCATGTGCCAGGTCACGCGATCTGACAAATCTTGGCAGCACCTATACGAAACAAAATAAAGTACAACTTCGTTCCAATTATTTAAAAATTTGCAACGAATTTGCCAATAAAAAAGTTTTATACGAGACCTTGTTAGGCAATCGTAGCATGTGCCAAATTCATACATGCCTTGGCCTTGCGCTATGTCTGGTGTATGTAAATCATACATTTCCGTCATGATATATGTTACGACTTCATGCATATATTTGGTAGGAATTCATGTATTTGCGGTCATGATATATGGTAGGCGACCGTAATATATGTACTGTAGGCATTTGCCAGAGGCATATATGTTCTGGGCCGCTTGCGGGCATCGGTCGCGGGCAATTAATATAATTCCTCAGTTTGGTGTATAATGCACTTGTATTGATTAAGGTTTATAAGTACTAGGGTTGGTCAATCGTTATTTCAATTAAGCTAATTTCAATTACGGAGCGCCTTGGCGAGCGCCTTGGCATCTTGGCCTCATCGCTCATTGGCCAGAGCCTTAATCATAATTTAATTGAACTCTTAATTGGTTAAGGGACTCTGGAGTCCCTTAACGAGATAATTGAAATTAAATTAGCACCCTAGTCAACATCACAACCCCACTCGCAACTCTCAATATTTTTATGACACCACCCATCCTCGACATCACGACACCGCCCGACATTGCGCAATGACATCCGAAAGGCAGAACCGGATAATTCCTAATCAAGTTCTCCAAGATCGATATCCCTCTCACATGTGCCTCCCAGCACTCCCTCGAGCAGCGAAATAGCGGCGTGCCAATATCTTTTTATAAATACCCAACACCTCGTCCAACAGCATTAATATCATGTCATCCTCAGGCGTCACCTTGAGCACCTCTATAAGCAGCTCTATGAGCTCCCAAATGTGTTTCAGTAACACCCTCCGCCGAGTAAGTTGTGGCATGTTGATAAATGCTGAGTCGTGATCTCGATGTTACTAAGCAGGCTTAACTGAAGATTTAACCTGGTCGGCCAACTTTGGTCGGTCAATCAAAAATTTTAATTTGCGCTAGTTTTGCCATGCCAAGGCGCTCCGTAATTGAAATTAGCTTAATTGAAATAACGATTGACCAACCCTACTGATTTACTGATTTACCCCCCAAAAAAAGAATTGATAACGGTATACCTAGCTGCAGCTATCCCAGCGACTGCAATAGATTCAGGCTATGATTTTGTAATAGCTTCGCATATAGCCCTTTATTATCAGGTTTGGCCATATCACAATTGCGAAAATATAATGTTTGTTGTCATTTGATCTCCCATAATTCTGTAAAACAGCATCTACCTGTTGTACACTTTTAGGTAGAACCTGCTTCGTTTTGGTTTAAAATCGAGGAATTGAAGTACCTTAGCAATCTGCATATAAATAAGTACCTGCAATTAAGAAAGTACCGTTTTGCATCTTACTTGGATCCTATAACTAAGAAATAGCTGGAATTTTCTAGAGTAAAAAGAAATCGTGCAACAAGATGTACACAAAATATATTATAATTATGATTGCTCCAAACTTCACTGAATTCCACGTAGCGCATCGATATTCAGCACAAGATGGTCTATATAGCCTGAACCATAAGGCCCCGTCTATTAGAACCCCGTAGATAAGAAACTAATCTCCAAATACCTATTGCATAGGAAATGCTGCAGACTCCTACAGTAGCAATAAACTCAGTATCCTCGTCTCCATTCATCATCAGAGATGAAGGTGATGAGTTGTTAATTCCACAAGCATGTACTTCATCATTTGAAGGGCTTGAGGTAATTTTTCCGGAATTCCCCTTGGTCAATGTTTGCCATCTCCCACTAATGCAACAAGAAGGGTATATGATGTGGATGGGGTGGTCAAAACTGACTTCATGGGGTGTTTTTTGAGTGTAGCAGGATGTTTTGTTCGATTCACATTTACCAAATTGAGGAATTATATTAATTGCCCGCGACCGGCCCAGAACATATATTACCATCGCCCTTCCATATCTCAACTTAATGCTATAGCTTAAGCGCCGGGCTCATAACCTGTAAGATTACGAGGCTATGAGTGGAGGAATTTTGTTCAGAAACAAAGGCTTGTATTTCAGCAATTGCTATAAGGCTCGAGCTTATGGTGCTAGTGTTCTATGGAAAGATTTATCTAAAGTAGGTGCGATCGCCTATATGTGCCCTTTCGCACCGTCACTTTCCTTCCGGAGTCCTTGCATTATCCCCTGTTTATCCCAGTATACCGTCACTTTCCCTTTCTTGACGGCTCCCTAGACGGCTGACGAGAGTATTTCCTACACTTATTTACATAAAAACTTGAATTAAGTTCAATCATCACTTTACATACTTCCTTCGCTTAGGACACAGACATGCAAACGCTGGAGTGGTGCAATTGGTAGCACGTCGACTCTCGTAAAGCCCCCAAACGGAGTTGAGAGGATGCGGGCCCACACGCCACAAAGGTCATCGGAGATCGAGGTTAAAATCCTCGCGCTGGCATCATCTTTTTATTACTATTTTAAACTTCTTAACTTGGTTGTGAATGGGGTTCATGTAATTGTATGCAATTTTTGCCACGTGCGGGGACGCCTGTGGGGGACGCGGATTCGAGCCTGGAGGAGCTGCTTTGGTTTTATCTTTTGAGACTTAAAATTTTGGCAGATGTAGCTATACGGATTCAAGTGAGGTGTCGTCACCTAACATCACAACATTATCATCCACATCGAAATTAAGACATTTTTTTTTTTTTTTCTCTAAGAGAAAAAAATGTAGTATTCGTATGCCCTCCGGGAGCCGCCCAAAAACCTAGACAGATTAAATGTGAGGGAAGTTGATTTGCCAGGCCCAGTATAAGTAAGGAAAGGAAACCAGTGTTCAATCCTGACGGACGGAAGTGAAGAAACAATTATGAATAGACGAAATAGAACTGTAGCCAAAAATAAACTACAACTAGGGCTCTAGACCACGAACGTGTACGAGAATGCACAACATAGAAAAGTACAAAGTTCCTCAGGGTGGGTATATTCAGAACAAAATGGCCTCGGTCATGACCATCAGTTGTGCATGTAGTCAAACAAACCGCTTTCACGAGTAGAGAGGCGATCTGATGGGAACAAATTTGAAGCGGATCTTTGTTGCAAAAAGCTAGGTTATGCTCGTCCGTGTACTGTATGAGTTTACCAACTTATGGACCTGAGGTTTGAGGTCATTAACCTTTTGGTAGATGTTTACCTACGTTAGTCTTGTTTACGTACGTAAGTTCCGGCTAACGCACGCAACCATACATCAAGATATCAGATTCTGCCAGAACATCTGCGGCATTTTCCTGGCCCTTTCCTTCGCCCTTTTCCTCGCCCTTTTCCTCTAGATCCCGCAGGGGATCTATCAAAAACTCTTTGCACGCGACAAGATATACTGTACAGAGCTACACACACCCCGGTATTATTGGATTGGATGGCCATACAACTTCTGCGGGCACCACCTAGTATTGTGGCTCTCGCTACTGAGGACCCTTGGCTGAGAATATATTAATTGCAATATATATAATAATAAATATGAGTGCTTGGGACCGCGAGTGAGATTCACCTGCCTCTGACATTAGTTATTTGAAACAATGCCTAGCTTTACGCCCCAAAAAATCACAGACCCAATCAATAACTACCTCCAACACAAGTTGGGCCATTGTTGCTAATCTGGCATTCCTATACAAATTGTGTGACAACGAATTGCAGAAACACTTCCTAGTAGTTTCTTGCTCCCTCGCGGGCAATTTAATTTAATAACTGAATTCGGTAAATAAATCTGATGTGAGTAATAGGTTCGACATAAGCTATTCATCTGGACTGGGCAGTTTGTCGATACTGAGCACCGTATTCATAGTTTAATGAGATCCGGTATTGTGAGATTTATTCATTTCTCATGTCAATACATAACAACATCTGCCCTTGGTTTTTAACTGGTTTATCTACCTTTCTACCTTACTACTCTACCATTCATTTTCATCATGTCAGCAACTCAAGCATCAGGAAATGCGCCAGGACCAGCTGTAGGCTGCTCCCAAGCGCCAGCTAAATTTCCAACTATAGGACCGTTTACCAGTGGAACACAAGAAGCCTTTCATCAGTCACCTACGTGATACTCCACATTGCTTGCGATTTGATGATATTCGCTATGATCAATATAAGGGATGGGCTTTTACAGGCTCAAGATTCAGGCAAATGGTCCAAAACTGAGTAGAAATAAAGAGAAAGCTCGGTTTCGAGTTTTGCAGAAGTTTAATTTCGATGAAGATGAAAAAAATTTGTTGTGGAAATGATACTGGAAGAGAGATTCGAGTTCTTCGTAACTGGCAACTCTTTGGTGTGATTTCTAATATGAATTGTGCAATTCCCCATGGAGGTTAGGAAAAAAGACATTTACTATTATTGGGGAACAATATTATGGGATAATTCGGCCAGAAGTACGTTGGCTTCCTATGCACTCTAAGGTATGGAAAACCCCTCCTTAACTTTGAGTCTAGATGAAAAATATAAAAAAATATAGGTGTGTGGAAAAAGATCACCCTTCAGCCAATTGTATGTAGTCTTTACAGTACGTGATATGGTCAGTGTAGGAATTCCAAGTGAAAACCATGCCAAAACCAATAATAAAAGGTTAAATGCAAAAGTTATTGCAAAACCACAGCCTGAACGCCATCAATTGTGAAACCAAGTATGGTGTACTTGTTACCCTTTATCCAACCAAAGACCTTCAGCCAGCAACTAATCTTATAAGCTTGGAAGATGAAATTGCGGATATTCCAGCTACTTGACAAATTACGATCACCTTAGCCAATACTGCTCAGCAGGCATCTACAACAACTCGTGTTTCAGTCTCATGTACTGGCAAAAAGTCCTGTGCCAATCGTCGCTGCCGATGCTACAAAAATAACTTGAAATGCTCTATTTATTTTCATACCAAAGTACTAGCAGATCATGACTATGGCAACCTCTCAGCTCTAGCTGAACGAACACAGATTGGACTGTAAGATAATAACCCAATTGACCCGGAGGATGACCTGGAGGATGACCTGGAGAGTGACCCAGAAGAGATACCAATCGGCCCAGAGCTAGATGCAGCAGTTACGCATCCCACAGCTCCCAGGCCAGCTTCTGGCCAATACTGCCTGCACTAGGATCAATGATAGCCTAGTTGTATAATTTGATATAGGTCTAGTTAGGTATATTGTTATTGATTCAAGTGTGTTATGTACCAAATCAAGTAATTAAATACATTTCCCGCGAGGCATAGTGGGTATGCTGCCCGCGAGCGGCCCGGAACATATACGTAATCTGGTATTTAAGTACTGTCAATCTAGTCTGGTTAAAACTATCGATCGTGATAGCGATACAAATTGCGGACTCTACTTTGTCTTACACCCACCGCTCTTTCATGCCGATTGTACTGTAGTATCCAGAGTATCAATTATTGGGCGCTGGTTCGTTGTGCTGGATTGTTGTGCTGTATTAAACGACTGCCTTTTATGGCTAGGGTCGATTTTTCCCACTGCCAAAGCTGGTTAGCAGCTTTACTACCTGGGCAACCTGTCATTCTTGGCACACGGAAATCAACTTAGGTTATGAACTCGACCAAATTGTTCTTTGTGGCCTCAACCCCATTAACACAAGCTTTACAGCAATGACGAAGAAAAAATCTGCGCATGCGGTCCCCCGATAGGGCTTCTGTAAAAAGGCGATCCGAGTCGAGACTGAATTCTGCAAATGCTTCTAGCCCAGGAGCAGAGGCCGACAGGAGCAAAGTTCTTGTAGCTGGGTGATAGTCCAAAAACAATTTTTCTAGGTAGTATTCTAACTTTGAAGGAGGATTACGGCTAGTATTGTGAGCTGCTAATTGTTTGTGTGAGCATTGAGATAAGGCGACCTATGGAGTATCTGTCAATGATTTCTTTCTGGTGTAAGCTGGATGGGATGCCTTGCAGAAACAACTGCATCATGAGTAGGTATCGACTGGATGGCAAGGGTAATAGCTATGTCTAGCTTGGGATCAGAGTTGAAATCTTTGAATTACTATGGTGATTATTAGCCTCAGGCGAAACAGGAAGATGGAGAGCGTCGTTTGACCATATCTCCACCCACAGGCTTTGAAGCGACATGTTGTCCGGCACCTCGACAGTGATGGGATTCTCTCGATGCAACAATAAACTAAAATCCACCGTCCCTTGTGTGCTCGCAATCGGTAATGGTGTTATGAAGGGAGCCCAAGGCGTCACGGTGGCGGTGTGGGGAAACGGAATTGTGCCAAGGACCCTTCGGTTGAGTTGTATTCAGCGATGCGAGCGTGGAGGGGCAGGAAGCATAGTACAGTAGGTGATGGACGAGAGATCACGATGGGTCGCCGGACTTGGGTAGATTAGGACTTGGGTTGGAATTTGGTTTTCTGGCTATCGTAGCGTTGGCAGAGTTAGCGATACGTGTTGAGGATAAGAGGTTGTGCAACCAGACTACGTGAGGGGCAGATGGTGAGAGTTGAGGTTCGCGTTGCATTCGTAAACATGGCTGGAACAGTCGTTCGCAAGAAAACAATTGGCCAACCACCCAGGGAGCTGTTCCCGACCCATTGGCCAATTGGGCGCTCGCTATTCACTGCACACCCTGATTTGAATAATAATTGGATGACCTCGAGTAGTCTGGCTTGAACTAGCCCCTCGGTAAGACCTCGAGTGCATATGGGTATGCACCCTACGAGAACATACATGTATATAAATCCTAGTCTGGTTGGCACTATAAATCCCATGCCTGCCGTCAACATTTTCCACGTACCCTCAAATCCTTCAAGCACCATGTCATGATACGTAATGCACCTTATGTTTGGAGGTGCCAACCAGACTATGTTTGGAATATCAAGGGGCAAGGTTGAATAAAGATTCTATAGGCCTGTGAATGTACACTCAAACCTTGCTATCGCTATAGCGGATCCCTTGGTTACCAACCAGACTACTGGCTCAAGCCAAAATTTTTTCCAGTTCTAAGCAATTTAGGTGTGGCGTCTACTTGCTATACCGGATACCGTACCGGATGGGGTTACAGGGATTGCTACAGGGACTATCACAGATAGTAAGGCCACAAAACGCTATAGCAATAGAAAGAGTAACAAAATACTTGTTCCCAACCGGTCCCACTACAACCGGTCCCACTACTAGTATTTACAGGGTTCTTATCCTTCAATATGTCGCTTATAGTAGACCATGCCATAGGCTATCTGGTTAGTCTTATCCAAACTCTTCATAAGTCATGTCTGCATCCGCGGATCTTGTCTTTTCACACAAATCCTATGCCGCTCTAGATCACTAAACCCCTTCCTCTTGTTTGGTAGCATTGAGAAATCCAATATATATTGATACAATTCCGTATAAGCGGTCAACGGTTGAGTATGTATAGATAAACAATCTTTGGAAGCACTCAAGTTCTATCCTTTTACCCGGCCTAGAACGGCCCCCACGC